GCAGTCTGTGGCTCTAAGTAACCAGCAGATGTGATGGGGCATTCTGTGAGGCTGTGCGGAGAACCGCTAATAGAGTAGAACTTATTGGTGAGTCTTAACATAATCAAATGGTATTGACGTTGGTAGAGAGGATGTCAATAGACATGTTTGTGCTGACACTTGCTTCTGAAGCTCATTCCTCAATAGAGATTAGATTTTGTTTCTCTGAACGAGCTAATCATTCTGTTTTCTATCAGCCAGTATGAATCAATGTGTTTAGAGGGGGAAAAAGCATAAATTAGGTCCCCAGACGTTGTATTAATGTACTGAATGCATGTTTGCTGCTTCTGCAAAGTGCAGTATCTTCACAAATGGAGATTGTTGTTAGCTGCTGGATATAATCTGATAATTGTAGTATGAGGCGCTAGTTAATGTCGTGAGAGATGTGGCACCGACAGGAACGGAGATGTTGTTACTTCGCTACACGTCAGCTCTTCTTCTGGAAACCTTCCCCAGCTGTGTGCCAATGTGCCCCCGAGCCCCATGCCTGAATATGGATGCCCTGCTCACTTAAACAGCCTGGCATTTCTCCCGGTCCCCCTCCTCTCTGACTCCAACTCAGACTTTACTTTTCTCACCTTCTACATCACCTTCAATCTCCTTCTTTGGCAGGGTGAGAAACTTAACTTGTCAGTGTTGGTGAAGTGCAGCTGCAGAGTGGTAAAAACTTGATATATTCACAGTTTTTTTTCTAACCGAGTGGCACCTGTCTATACCGAAAGTGTTATACTTCATACAAACGCCACACTTCTCCTTATAGAAATGAAAAAGATCTGTATGTTTAACTAAAGGTGGTCAAAGGCTCTTTTTTTGGTCTCTTTGCCTTTTAATTTGGTTTCCCCACAGGTTTTCTTCATAAGTCACACTTCTTCGGTCGCTCAGGCCCCCTCCACCATCGCTTCGACTCTTTTTGGTATTCTGTCAGAGTGGCTGCACACCCACCACAATAACTAGCTCACTGAAATGATGAGTGCGAGCGTTCTGACCTGAAGTTGATTCTCTGCCAACGCAGGTTTCTGATGCCTCACTGGAGATCGCAAGATGACATTAGCTGAGCTCCGGTAACGAGTAATTTGTGAAAGCTACCACACACACACGCGCGCACACACACACACACACACACACACACACACACACACACACACACACACACACACACACACACACACACACACACACACACACACACACACACACACACACACAGTTGCCTCACTGTCACAGGTGAGCACTGCAGAAGTCACACCACTCTTTATTTTTTCAGCAAGTTTGCTGGAGCTTCTTTCAGCATTCCCTCTCACCTCTCCTGATTCCTTCCTCCTGGCTCCCCCCCACACACACACACACATCTCTGTCTCTCCTGCCAACCTCTCTTCTCACTCCCTGGTTTAACTTTCAGTACTGCCACTGGGGAAGTCTTCACTTATAACTAGTAGTCTTGCTTCGTACCCAAATAGCACAACTTCACAAGTAAATTTTGTGCCTCGGGGCTTCATCTGGGTCTCCCATGCCTGTTCTTTCAAACGTGTTTAAAGGACATGAAAAAGTAGATGACAGTCAGTAAAGAGAGTCAAGTTTTCTTAGATGCCTGGGAAGGATTCTTGTTCTGAATTTATGGCTTCATGTCTACCCAGTGACATACAAAAAAGTCCACTAAGGTTACAGAAATTTACCTTCAAACCTGCCTGTCTAAGCTTCTGTTCAAATCTTTGGTTTATACGTATTTTTTTCCTTTCATTTTGTTGCACCAGCTGCTAGTACAGTGAATAAACTCGGCAGATAAACCAGTGTTTTCACAAAGCAGAGTGCAGAGATTTGTAAATGAGATAAAACAGCTTGTATTTATGCTTCCGTCTGCGTCTTTGCATGGTGATAGTGCCGGATGGGTGCTGTCAGCTTCTGCTGCAAATGTGGCTTCAAGAAAAGGGGATTACAGTGAAGGGCCCCCTGCAGGAGCAGTGGTGTGAGGAACCGCTTATGCACTGTACTCTTTACACCAATCCCTTCTTCGACTGCTTGTTCTCTCAGATCCAAACATGGGATTTGACACAGGATCTTACAGAGGCGTCAACACTTCATCTTAGTGATTCCTACTGTGATCTGTCAGCAGAACGCCTGTTGGGATTACGCAAGAGCAGCCTGAGCAGGAGTCTGTTTAAAGTGCCAGGACTAAACACACATAGTACTCACAAAGATGGAAGGGGGCCGTATTTTACCTTTCTATGTGTTTGTATGTTTGGTTGTTTCTCTTTAAGTAAAATATCAAATAGATTTTAATCAAATTCTCTAAAGATCTTCTTTGGATGCACATTTAACCTTTGACCAATTCACAATGGCCACCACTCTGCTATTATGACAGAACCAAACACATATATTTGTAGACATGATGTTGATTAAAGAGGAGCTAGGCCGTTTGGCTTGCTTTTACCACCTCCTTTTGTCCATTTTTAGAACCAAAAGCAAAACTCCTCGCTGTGCGTTGGTCTTTTTTTACACCTTAGCTGAAATGTCTCCCCAGACTTCCTTAGTGTCTGCCGCAATGTTTCACCACTTAATTAAACACATCGACTGTGTTCGTGATCTAAAACATGCAGGAAACATGCTAGAACAAGACTGCAGCGCCAGGTATGTCAGCTCCATTTTTTCTAAGTCCCCACACAGCGGTCCACCACTCTGAAGTTGCAAGTGGAATATTCTGGTCATAGGGCGTGATAGGCCCTGTAAAGCAGTGGTTTCCAGTGTTGTTTCCAACCTGGGGTCCATGCACAACCAAGGGGATCTCACAAGATTGCATATTTTGTCTGTGCTGAGGTTGCGAGGTTATGATTTGTATGCATTTTTGTAATAATTACATTAATAAAATCCCAATAAGTCGCCCAGCGGTGTAGTCAAGACTATGTATAAGAGTTTTAACTTTTATAAGTCTGTTTAAACTTTGTATTTAACCACTTTTGATGCATGCATGGGGGAAGAGTTGGGCTTGGGGGAGCTCTGGCTCAATTGGGTGCTTGTGGAAAAAGAGGTTGGGAACCACCACTGTAAATGGTCATTTTAGCACATACTGGCTCAAGAAAATGATTCAAAAATATGAAAAAGTTGCTAAGTATACCTTTAAGAGGGGAAGTTATGATTGGTTACTACGCTGAAGTCATTCAGACTTTGTTGTTTGGGATAAAGGAGGAAAAGACCTTCCAACAGGTTTGAAGGTGAACTGGAGTTCCAGAATCTACTGAACTGAGTTTTAGCTGCCACATTTTCCATTTGTGCACGTGTACCCTGAAACTCCAGAGGGACTACGTATTAAAATACCAACATCTTCTTTAGACAACCTGACATTCTTGTGGACCTTTCTCCATCCTTTTGCTAATATTTTAAGTAAAAATGAAAAAGAAATCAGGATATTTCCGCGTGGGAATTCTGTAAGTAATACACCAGAGAGAACTTTTCTGTGAATTTTTGCAGACAACTCCATAAACCATCCTTGCTGTGTCAAACACAATACAGCATTTCGTGCCGCGTACTTTGAACATCATGTCCTCCCTCCTGTGTGCTTTACACAAGTGCCACAGTTGTTTTTACAGTATTGAGCCTCAGTTTCACACAGAGAAACGTGAGCTGTCGGGTCAATGGTATGAAATTAGGACACTTAGGGGATAGAACATATCTGCTGCTGTGGTTGCCTTGTTACAAAACACCACAGAAACTCTTCATAGTCTGCGATTTGGAGGATCGTATTAGTTTGATTCTTGTGAAGAAGCACCAGGAGATTTAATAGAGCTGTCTGTAATATTTGCATACAATGTTTATCTTTAGATTGTTACACAAACTTTCATCCATATTAACTATTAATGTTTGCCTGTTGACTGCTGGGATACACTCCAGCCCACAGAACACACTAAATGTATAAGAAAAGAGAAAATGAGTTGGTGTTACTGTTAAAGACATGCTGGCTCAGCATTGTGCTCTCTGGATTCACTGACACGCGTTCGGCTTTTACGGCGTTCCAGCATGGCCAGATAAGCAGAAGACAACCTCATTTGGAGATTTTGATCTTTTCTGCGTGTTTTGGTAATCTGTATTTTATTTTATGTCTTTTGGTTTGTGTTTCCTATCAGTTGCACCCAAATTCAGAGAATCCAAAGTCATGGATGATTGGATTTTGATGGCGTCTTGCGCTGTACAGCATTCTTGAAAGCTTTGCAATAAGAATGAAATGAAATGAAAAGCCTAGAAACCAATTTATTCAAGTGGGGTTTTGTTGCTTGGGGGGTATTTTTTCCCCTGCATTGCCATGTAACCCTTTACAGGACAAGGCACATAAAACAGACATAAAGCCTTAAGTTATTACCTTCATCGTGTGTTATGGTCGTACCTGCTCTGATTGAAATGCAAAGTGGAACAGAAATGCGGAGACGGCTTCTGTCGCTGAAGCATAGCTCGTCCGATTTGGAAACCCAGAGCAGCATGTAAGGAAACGTTCCATCCTCATTTACAAAATGGTGAATGATGTAATTTCTCAAAAAAAAATTGTGTTACAGCCCTTCAACTCCAACAAACCCTCCAGAATTTCTGGACAGTTTGCTTAAAATCAGCAATTATTTTTAATTAGCCGTGGTCTTTGCCACAGTTGTAATGGTTAGCTGCTCTGTTTTGACCTCATACATTAGTGTTTGTGACTGTTTAGTGATAGAACAAGCGGAGGAAGATGACGACAAAGTGATAGAACACTGCACGGTGTGAGGAGTGTGAACACAAAAACTCCACTACCTTTCCTGGGTCTTTGTAGTGCAACTGAGTGTCACAGAATCCTTCCTGCCACTGTCAGAGATAATTGGCACTCTATAAACACATGATAATTGGGCTGCTTTGATCCCTGCATTTTCACTCTCTCTCTTTTTGGGTGGTAAAATAACGGCACAGCAGTTCTGTCTCATGTTTACCACTCGTCTTCATGCAGCAGTAAGGAGATGGAAACTGAAAGAGGAAGAGAGAGGGAGAGATTCTGCTTTCTTCTGAAGTGTTAAAAGCTCCATGCAGGCATTACTTCCTGCACCCAGCATCTTTTGCCATTGTTCCTCCGCTGCTTATGGCCATGACTCATAACAAAGTTTTTCTTTTGCACACCCATTCACACATGCAGGGCTTGATCACTCTGTGAGCTTCTAAAAGAAAGACAAAAAATCCTCTACTTTTCTCCCTGTTTGTGTTTGTGGTGTGCTCCAGACAGCCAGGGGGGCGGACCTTTTTGTCCACGGGAAGGACTGGAGTTTCAAAAAGTTCCTACGAAGGGACTTTTGGTCTGCTTCCTGATGACAAGCTAACTCTTTTCTGAGAGGTAAGTGTTGTGACAGTTCATTTAATCTGAATTTGAGTTGTATATTTAGCCTAAAATCTTCCCTGAGAGTAATCACGACATTGACTGCACTTTCATCAGGATAATCCTGAGTATTTTGTAAGATCAATAAAATCTGAGGTGCAATGGAAACACAAACAAAAACAGTTTTACCAAGGATTTGTCTTTTGAGTTGTATAATTGCATTTTGTTTAACCCTCATCTGCCCTAATTGCATTTTTTTTGTGCAGACAGGTGCATTTGTGTGAATATTTTTGGCTATGCTACAGCAATTTACCCTTTTTTTTGGGGGGGGGGGGGGGGGGATATTTTGAGGGGGAAATACCAAAGATAATAAAAAATATATTCCCCAACTCCATTTACTGTAACACTGAAATCATTTTGTAGCATTACCACCCTTAGTGCATTTTTTGTGCATTTGCCTTTCATGTATATAATTTTTTTCTGGTAAGCCTATATATATATATATATATATATATATATATATATATATATATATATATATATATATATATATATATATATGTTTATATATAGGGTAAGAAGTGGTAAGCATATATATATATATATATATATATATATATATATATATATATATATATATATATATATATATATATATATATATATATATATATATATACAGGTGCTGGCCAGTAAATTAGAATATCATCAAAAGGTTGAAAATATTTCAGTAATTCCATTCAAAATGTGAAACTTGTACATTATATTCATGCAATGCACACAGACCAATGTATTTCCAATGTTCATTACATTTAAATTTGATATTCATAAGTGACAACTAATGAAAACTCCAAATTTGGTATCTCAAAAAAATTAGAATATTCTGAAAAGGCTGAATATAGAAGACACCTGCTGCCACTCTAATCAGCTGATTTACTCAAAACACCTGCAAAGGCCTTTAAAAGGTCCCTCAGTCTTGTTTTGAAGGGCACCACAATCATGGGGAAGACTTCTGACTTAACAGCTGTCCAAAAGACAATCATTGACACCTTGCACAAGGAGGCAAGACACAAAAGGTGATTGCTAAAGAAGCTGGCTGTTCGCAGAGCTCTGTGTCCAAGCACATTAACAGACAGGCGAAGGGACGGAAAAAATGTGGTAGAAAAAAGTGTACAAGCTCTAGGGATAACCGCACCCTGCAGAGAATTGTGACGACAAACCCATTCAAAAATGTGGGGGAGATCCACAAAGAGTGGACTGCAGCTGGAGTCAGCGCTTCAAGAACCACCACGAGGAGACTCATGAAAGACATGGGATTCAGGTGTCGCATTCCGTGTGTCAAGCCACTCTTGAACAAGAAACAGCGCAAGAAGCGTCTCGCCTGGGCCAAGGACAAAAAGGACTGGACTGATGCTGAGTGGTCCAAAGTTATGTTTTCTGATGAAAGCAAGTTCTGCATTTCCTTTGGAAATCAAGGACCCAGAGTCTGGAGGAAGAGCGGAGAAGCACAGAATCCACGTTGCATGAGGTCCAGTGTAAAGTTTCCACCGTCAGTGATGGTGTGGGGTGCCATGTCATCTGCCCGGTGTTGGCCCACTCTGTTTCCTGAGGTCCAGGGTCAATGCAGCCGTCTACCAGGAAGTTTTAGAGCACTTCATGCTTCCTGCTGCTGACCAACTTTATGGGGATGCAGACTTCACCTTTCAACAGGACTTGGCACCTGCACACAGTGCCAAAACCACCAGCACCTGGTTCAAGGACCATGGTATCCCTGTCCTTGATTGGCCAGCAAACTCGCCTGACCTTAACCCCATAGAAAATCTATGGGGTATTGTGAAGCGGAGGATGCAATACGCTAGACCCAACAATGCAGAGGAGCTGAAGACGACTATCAGAGCAACCTGGGCTCTCATAACACCTGAGCAGTGCCACAGACTGATCGAGTCCATGCCACGCCGCATTACTGCAGTTATTGAGGCAAAAGGAGCGCCCGACTAAGTATTGAGTGCTATACATGCACATTCTTTTCATGTTCATTCTTTTCAGTTGGCCAACATTAGAGAAACAAACATTTTTTCATTGGCCTTTAGAATATTCTAATTTTCTGAGATACCAGATTTGATGTTTTCATTGGTTGTCACCTATAAATATCAAATTTAAATGTAATGAACATTGGAAATACATTGGTCTGTGTGCATTGCATGAATATAATGTACAAGTTTCACGTTTTGAATGGAATTACTGAAATATTTTCAACCTTTTGATGATATTCTAATTTACTGGCCAGCACCTGTATATATATATATATATATATATATATATGCTTACCAGAAAAAAAATATTTACATGAAAGTCAAATGCACAAAAAATGCACTAAGGGCGGTAATGCTACAAAATGATTTCAGTGTTACAGTAAATGGAGTTGGGGAATATATATATATATATATATATATATATATATATATATATATAATATATATATATATATATATATATATATATATATATATATATATATGTACACTCAACAAAAATATAAACGCAACACCTTTGTTTCTGCTCCAATTTTTCATGAGGTGGACTTAAAGATCTAAAATTCATTCCAGATACACAATATTACCATTTCTCTCAAACATTTTTCACAAATCAGTCTAAATGTGTGATAGTGAGCACCTGTGCTTTGCTGAGATAATCCATCCCACCTCACAGGTGTGCCATATCAAGATGCTGATCCGACATCATGAGTAGTGCACAGGAGTACTTTATGCTTTTATTTTGTACATTTTTTTCACAATTCTGGTATTGATCATAAACCTTGCATTAAAGGGGTTAAATCTCAGAAACACACACATTTTTTTATTGTTAAGGCTGAATCCAAGGAGGAAATTCATGTAAAAAAAATAGGGACATATGAAGTATTATATAATATTTCTGTGGGAAATTTTGTATGTTCAATTTTTGTTTGCTCATAAACCAGAAACGTTAGAAAATTATAAGGTAATATAAGGGTTACACCCTAAAAATATGAATATTATTGAGATAACCAAACTTTTTATTTGTAGTAGCTGCTTTGCCTGGCAGAGATTACAACTTTCATTTCCGTTCCTCACTTCACTCCTTCTATGTTTCTGTTAGTGAATTATGTATGTTTTTATTAGTACTACATAGCCTTTGGATTTATAGCTCTCTTTCATCACTAACATGCAGGCTGATGGTGCTTGCATGGTGGCTTGTCTCAGAGTCATCTGATCCAGAGTTCCTTGAAAAAAAATGCTTGTTATTTTTCAGGTACAACACAGGGGGCAGCAGAGGTCAACTGTCCTCTCAGGTTTTCCCCTTTGCTTCTCCAAATAGAAGGAGCAGACAAGAGGTTAAACTTTCACGATATGTTAATGCCTTCACTTTAATGCATGCACCCATAAATGTTTAAAAAGCATGGCAGTAGCTGTTTAAAACAATCCTAATTAACCCAGTGGGTGTGGAGGAGAGCTTGTCTTGAAGTTTCCCCTTTATTTGTTGCAGTGCAGTGTGTGATTCTGTTTAAAATGTCTCCAAAGTGGGTTTAATTTACAGAGGGGTAAGAGGGGCAGCACTGCCTCTCAAGAGCCACGTGGGACAGGAAGTGAAGTTGTGTATGGGAGGAAATTTCATAAATTTATGGTGCTGTGTGCAAATGTGAAGGTTTGTCTCATTGGGACATCGTTTTGAGGATGACTTTGCCACAGAGGGTAAGCAGTGGTAGATGAGGATTTGCTGCTTTGAAGAGTCTTTAGTCATCAAAAGTATGTCCACTCTTAAAGAAGATGGTATTAGGTTGCTGGTTCAAGTCCTCTATGCCCTGTAAAAATTTGTCATCTTCTGGCTAAACAACTAAGCAGAGCAAATCTGACATATGTATCAGATTTTATACAAATATTCAGTTCAACTAGAACTTGTGCATGCATTTATATTTATTTAGGTATTCTTGGATTTAGACATAGTTTTACAGTAATCCCTCGCTACTTTGCGGTTCGTTCATCGCGGATTCGCTGCTTCGCGGATTTTTTCTTTGGAGCATTTTTCAGGGGGAATTCGCAGATTTGCGGTATTTTTCACTGATTCGCGGTATTTTCTATGCGAAATATCAAGAAATTCTTGTTTTTTTCATCAATTTCATCATAAAATGCACTTTTTGTAATAAAACTAAAAAAACCAAGTAAAAAAATTTTTTTTCTTGAGTTTTACCCACAAAAAGAGAATGTGATCATACGATAATTCAATATAGTACTGTATGTCAGACAGGTCGGCTGGATTCGGGAGTTGAGCTTGTAGGGAGCGTGGTTTCACAGACGCAGAAGTGATAGCATTGGTGAAACGCCGGCTGATCTAGGAAACCCCCGAGCGTTCGAGCGTCAACGAAGTGACACGGAAATGCCGGGCTTTCCAGAAGTAAGTAAGATAACTTACTATGAGCTGATAGTTCGTTGGATTGATCGGTAGGTTGGAAACTCTGATCATGAATCTGAAGAAACGATGACTGAGTGGTGAGCTGGAAAAGCGACTTTCGTTTATAGCCGCGGTTTGTGACGTAGGTGCGACGTGGAGGGAATCCCCGCGAGGGGCATGCTGGGAGTCCCTACTTCGCGGATTTTCACCTATCGCAGCCAGGTCTGGAACGCATCTACCGCGATAAACGAGGGATTACTGTATTATGTAAAATATTAAACACAATGAAATCTGCAATGGCAAATTTGGAAAACAGATTGGCTAAGAGTGGCAGTGTATAGTTTTCTGGAGCTAGGGGGCAGTACATTCATTTCATGGTAGTTTTACACCATATCGCCATGACTGAAATTAGTTTAAAGAAACATTACGGTAAATGTTATTGCCTGTGGAGCAGAAAGCATGCAACGCAGGAGTGACTCCTCAGACTGTGGTGGTCCTTCAGTTAATTCCATCAAGAGAATGCAATGCTGATTGTAGTTTTCTGGGGTTGTAGTTTCTGGATCAGGGTTCTGTGCCTGTTGATGATGTCATACTTCGGCAATACCGCTTGGCCAAAATATATTGCATCTTTGATTCTGTTCTTTCACATAGGTTTTTTTTAAAAAGTTTAGCAGTTTTGTTATTAAATTCATATTTCTTCCTGCCTAAACATTTTTGAATGTTGTAACATAACTTCCGTAAGTTGTGCACCCAGCCAATCGTCTAGTGTGATGTCATTGGCAGGCGCAGGACCAGGAGGAAATATTGCTCTTTGGTTATTTGTTTTGAAACCGGCAAAATTTTTCAGTGACAGAACATAATTGTATTTATTTTCAACAATGTTTTGATGGATATGTCCATAGATTAATGGTAAAACTACACATTTGCTCTTACGTTCTGTCACGTACTGTAATTAAGCCTCCATTACTGTGCTTGTGCTCCTGTTTTCCCTGAACTCCTAATTGCACGTGGGCGTGTCTGAGAGCTCCCAGCTGCTGCCAGTGGTCATCAACCTTGCCAGGGAATTTAAACGGTAGTGAGACACTGACTCTTCGCTGGATAACTACTCACGCTTTGTGCTTTGTGACTCTTGCCCATTTATGCCTTGTCTTGCATCTATAGTCATAGTTTCATGTACCTTTGTCTCTAAGATCTCGCCTTGACTCACATTTTGTTCATTTCCAGGTTCCCATGCACTCATCATCTCCTGATTCTAATAACTACCCAAGGCTCCACGCTGTACAATGTCTTGCTACATGTCTCCTGGTCATCCGCTCTCAGCCACCCATCTGCCTCCTCACTGAAGTCACCTACTCTCTGATATCTCTGGACCATCCTCAGTCATCCCTGGATGTCCCTCTAAGCTCAGCTCCCTCCATGTTTCCCGGATTCCGCCTCGGCTCACTCAGACCTGACCTAGACCCTCCTCAGAGTCCACACTACTCTTGGAATCAGTAAGGCAACATTTTACTTCATTCTACCAATCTAGTCTCACAGTCTGCAGCCTCTACCCACTGTCTATCTTTTACACAATGTCCCAAACACCCATCCTGGTCAGCCTTTTTCAGCAGTGCCTTTAGATGACATTTTAATAGAATAATTTTGTTTTTATTTTGTCTCCTGTGGTTGATTCTGCATGCCGTTGGTCAGACATGTAGCACGCAACATGTCAGAATCATCCAGCCATCAACCTAGCCTCAATGCAAGAACCGTCCAGAACAACTCTCAAATTTCAACCATTGGTCCATCAGATCCATCAGAAACTCTCTGCCCCAGAATCTTCTTCTCCCGAGCCTACAATTTTCCCCACCCTGGAATCTCCTAGACTTGCCACTCTGATTTGTTTCTGGGTGTTGAGTCACCTCCGGCCAAGGCATTTAGCGGAGATTTTGGAAAGAGTCGGGGCTTTCTCCTGCAATGTGAATTGGCTCTTCCAACACTCACCGGAGTCTTTTCTCCTCCGACGCATCCAAGATATCCTACATAGTAGGAGAGAGAGAGAGAGAGAGAGAGGAGAGAGAGAGAGAGAGAGGAGAGAGAGAGAGAGAGAGAGAGAGAGAGAGAGAGGAGAGAGAGAGAGAGAGAGAGAGAGAGAGAGAGAGAGAGAGAGAGAGAGGAGAGAGAGAGAGAGAGAGAGAGAGAGAGAGAGAGAGAGAGAGAGAGAGAAAATAAATGCTCAAAGTAATGTTTGTGCTTCTGTTGTGGAAAAACAGGCCATGTGGTTTCAGAATGTCCTAGTCAGCCAAAAAGGAGCCCACCAGTAGCCCAGAGAGTGGGTGGTTCCGTAGCTAATACTTACTCAGAGCTCCTTTACTTGCACCAGCTTATGTAATCAATGCTCTATCTCATCTAAGCTCTATTAGGGTCCGGCTGTGAAAATAACCTTCTGGACTAAGCCCTGGTGGACAGATTGGGAATTACTATCATTCCCATTCAGACTCCATTGAAGACATCGTCTCTGGATGGAAGCTCATTATCATCCAATACACACCGGGCACCTCCAGTTCACTTGTTAGTATCTGGTAACCATCATAAAGTTTTGCCTTTTTATATTTATCCTTCTCCCCAGATCCCTGTTGTGACTCTTCTTACAAAAACCCACATGTGAAGTGGTCCACCAACCAAATAAAGATATGGAGCACCCATTGCTTATCCAAGTGCCTCAAATCTGCTGTTGTCAAGGCTCCCCTGCCAGTAAACAATCTGGCCCAGCCGTCTGATCTCACCAACATGCCCAGGTAAAAACAAAATCTTCCGCAGGTATTCTCAAAATACCTTGCTTCTTCTCTTCCTCCCCACAAACCTTTCGACTGTGCCATAGACCTGTTTCCCAGAGTTCCATTACCTTCTTCTTATCTATTCCGTGTGTCAAAGCCAGAACGTGAGTGTATGGGAAAACATGTCACTGAATCTCTAGCTGCTGGCATCATTAGAAATCCCACTTCACCCCTAGGAGCAGAAACATGGTTCATTACACCCATGCATAGACTATAGAGGACGTAACCACATCACTGTTAGTAACAAATATCCACTGCCTCTGCTGTCATCGACCTTTGAGCCCATACAAGATTAAACCAATTTCACGGAATTGGACCTCCGCAATGCATGCTACTTGGCCAGAATTTTCCAAGGCGATGAATGAAAGACAGCCTTCAGAACACCTCTAGGACACTTTGAATACTCAATGATACCATTTGGATTAACAAATGCTCCTGCCATGTTCCAGTCCCTGGTGGACAGTGTCGTGGATGACTATCTGAACAAACATGTAACAGTCTGTCTCAATGATATACTTCTGTTTTCCAATCCCCCAGAGGAACATCGTGGACATGCAGGTGCCGTTTTCCAATGCCTTTTGGAGAATAGACTCTACGCCAAGGCTGAAAAATGTTAATTCCATTCCCCATCAGTCCAGTTCCTTGGTTTTGTGCTGGAGAGCGGGCAGCTTTAGTCTGATCTGGAAAAAATCTAGGCTGCTGTCAACTGGCCTACTCCCACCTCAATGCAGCTCCATTTTCTGGGTTTTGCTAATGTTTATTGCAGATTCTTCTAAAACTACAGTCAGACAGCTACACCCTGAACTCGACTCATTTCCAGAAAAAAAAAAACATTTTTTTTTTACTCCTGAGGCTGCCAAAGCTTTCACTGATCTTAAGAACAAGTTCACTCAAGCACCTAATCTCACCCTTCCAAACACCTCACCACAGTTTGTACAAGAAGTGGACGCCTTAGATACAGGTGTCGGTGCTGTTTTGTCTCAGGTCTCTCAAACAGGTTACAAACTTTATCCCTGTTGTAGCGTTATGGATATGCTATTTTCTGCCCTTAACAGCTGCCCTTTGACACAGTGACAGTGTGCATAAATTGCCAAGGTCGTGTGCTTGCTTCTGATGTTTACATTCTATCAAAGAAGACAGAAGAAGGACGAAGAACGCTTTTCATTAGTTAATCAAAGAACTTTATTTTTAATAAAGCTAATCAAAACAACTGTTGGTCAATAATAATCAGGTGACTGAACTGTGAAATCACAATGTTATGATCAGAGGTGGAAAGAGTACTAAAATGTTGTACTTAAGTACAAGTATAATTACTTTCATGAAATTTTACTCAATTACAAATAAAATTACCTGCCTCAAAATGTACTCAAGTAAAAGTAAAAAGTAGCTTATTTCAAATGTAGTCAGAGTAAAAGTTACTTAGTTACTTTTTTGACTGCAAGGATGGGCTCTTCTGAATAGTTAAAAAAAAGACAATGGGGTATAAATATCAAAGTGGCCGTTTTTTTAATTAAATGAACAAATATGCATTATGAAGTACAAAGGCAGTTACACTGCAAACTAGTAACATAAATTAGGTTATAGTCACAAGCCCATGACTTTTCCCTGAATGCTTATTTAGAGCAGCTGATTTTTAAAGTTAGCAGAGTTCATCTTTGGTAGTGGGTTCACTCACTCATTTAAAGATATCGGCCAGAGGCAAAATTTGTTTGAACAGCATGTGTAAATGTGAATTAAAATCTCAGATGAAAAAGGTTTTTGGATTTTGACGGCTGGAATTGTATGAAAATCTGATGTTTGTGACCGGCGAGGGAAAAACAGAAACTAACTTCCGGTCTAAGCCCTGGGCAGCAGTTGACGTTTCACATGGAGCTCTGCTGAAACAGCTGTAGTAAACAACGCCTGGCTCCGCTGTTTCTGCGTTAGCGTTATAGCAGAGAACATTGTGTCATCAATCAGATGTAGCTTCTGAAGCCTCTGCTAGTCGGTCAGATTTGTTTTTTCTCTGGGATACGGCGACGAGAACGGATATTGGATTCCCGGAGAAGTTCAACCGAACTCCGACCCCGCCAGCTGGATATCACTACCAGAGGTGCAGACATGTTTTAGACCGTTTGACTCAGAAGACCAGGACATGACCTGGACATAGAGGAGGATTCTGTTCATCTTCAGAACCAAAATCGGTAGAGTTTGTTTACTTTTCTTAAATATTTCCTTTCTGTGCTCCTCTGGGAGCTCTAAGTTGACAAGTTCTCAGCTGGTCTTAGCTCCATCATGTGTCCCAATATAGTTCAGTAATCTACAGTTTTACTGCTGTGTGTATTTATTGACATAACTCTGGAAAATATTTAACCAACAATTTACCAGAATAAATCTTCCTGATGCTGGAGTAACTCCTTAGCTCAACTCGTTGTTTGCACTAATCCAGGATGTCATGGAGGTTCTAATGTTGAAATATAGAGATCATCTTTTAGATTATATCTGTGTGTGTGTGTGTGTGTGTGTGTGTGTGTGTGTGTGTGTGTGTGTGTGTGTGTGTGCGTGCGTGCGTGCGTGCGTGTGTGTCGTAGCTTTCCCAAAGGACTTGTTCTTTCCTTACCGGAGCTAACACAGTTAGCAGTTTTGCTGCAGTCATGCTAACGGGACTCGTCTGGAGTCCAGAAGTAGCGGTGCGGTTCTAGATGGATTTATAGATGTAGGTTATTATTTTAGATCAGACCTGTTATTTAAAAATGCATGTAGGACACAGACACATGGCTCAGACCTTTTGCTGCAGCTGTAAACACAATTTTACGTAATAATTAGGAGCATCAAAGTAAATAACAGTGATTCACAATACTAGCATCAGCAGCTAGCTTGTTTTACGTGCTGGAGCGACGTATGCGAAACACAGTTCTTCACTGTCTGGAGGAGAGGATTTGGATATTCTGTAATGATTTATGACAAAAGTCCTTAATAAAATAAAAAACTGGACCCAGTACATGTTTATATAGATAATAAACTGTAGTTATTTAGCATTTCTACAATTTTAATGCCGAGCCAATACCTTTAACCCTTCACCACTGAAACCAGTTTGTTCATTCCAGTCCACCTAAATAATCCTCCAATCATCCAACTGGAATCCTTAAGGGTCCTGTAACGTACATCCTGTCAGAATAGGCCTTGGGAGCCCAGGTGTTACTAGAACTAACGGTGTCTCCTCACCAGCGTGACCCTCCAAACTGTGAAGGTTGGTCTCCAAATATGAACTTCAAATTCATGCATTTATCTCCTCTTGTAACACTTTAACATGTTTTAAAAGGCTTGTATCGTGATATGTTACACCTCCCAGACCAAAGATAGGTCCAATATAAGATAAAACATTATCATAAACACTGCAGAGACATCATTGTTTATTAAATACAAGTTGTTTTCCTGAGCCATTACTTCAGCCAATATATAGGATGCATGGATTTGATGAAGCCATGCTGTCTCATGCAGTCCTACACACACACACACGCACACACACACACGCACATTCACACACACACACACACACACACACACACACACACACACACACACACACACACACACACACACACACACACACACACACACACACACACACACACACACACACAGCAGCATGTTAGAATCATTTGAATGACTAATTTAACTACACTGAACTGCTTTAGTAACAATTTAATCTCTTATTCTGGAGTAAAAAAAAAGAAACAAACTAAATCATCACATATCTGTGGCATCAAGAAGCAACTTCTGAGTTCAGACACAGGGATGGAGCACAATGTTTACACCTGAACAGTATCAGGATTAACTCACAGAGGCCTGCAGGTCTTCTGTTTTATGAGCAGAGCGCTGATAATCAGCTTCTTAGGAGCGCTAAACGTAATTTTGCCGCTTCCGTGCACGGTAAGAAAACACATTTCAAACACGGAACCGAGTCTGGTTGCCGAACCGAGCAGAATTCTGATGACGTCACACCGGTGCGCGAAGGTGCGGGTTCCAACCCACAGGAGAGAAGGGAGAGAGGAGGTAAACAGCGAGTGGATCACAGGGACTGAACTGATGTTTTTGAGCAAAACTGCGGTAAAAATGGCTGTTTGTCCTCATCATAAAGCGTGTAGCCCCCCCCCACCCCCCGCCCCCCCGTTTAGACGTGGCGCTCATGCAGGTGTCTCTTTCTGTTCTGACGCTGCTACACGTAATATTTTTAATTTATTAAGACTACAATTTATTTTTACTCAGTAACGGATATGATTTAAAATGTAGCGAATTACAATTCTTGTTTAAAAACTTACTCAAGTAAAAGTAAAAGTACAGATTTTAAAAACGACTTAAAAAGTATAAATTTACAAAAAAGCTACTCAATTACAGTAACGTGAGTAAATGTAATTCCTTACTTTCCACCTCTGGTTATGATTTATGTGTTTTAATGAATAACAGGACTAACTGAGCTAGACATCCTGATCCACGTAAGATAAACACATGACACATTGTTCACGCATCCAATCAGAACTTCCGTTCTGTTGCGGGGCAGAGTTCTGAGGTGTTTACTTAATCTGTCCACTCCGGTTGGCTAAGATTCATAAACATCTAACCTTAATAAAACAGAACCATGCCATTTTATTTCAGTTCCACCGCAAGTTTCAACGTAGTTCCAACGTGAGCTCGACCAGCTCTCAAATCCATCATCGCTAAGTGAAGTGCAGACTGGCCAGCTGTATTTTCTACTTTAAGCTGAGAACTGTCAAGCTCGAAATATTCTGTCGTTTTACCAACAAGACGACGGTTCCTTCAAAATAAAAGCTGAACTCTCTACGTGACGCTGACACCTGCCGTTGCTACCGGGAGTCTATCCGTAGACTGGTTTGTCGTGCTGCAGACGCTGTGCTATCAGTTCCAGCACCAAAGGAGGGTCCGAGGACCTGGCATTCCGGATCATACACGGGAGTCTCCGAAGGTACGTAGTTCGGCATAGAAGGCATTTCATGTCTCTTCCTCCTGAAGTCCCTCGTGGTTAGTTAGTCAAAACAACATCTTGCCCTCAGACTCGCCTCGCACCAGATGGAGATTCTGAACTGACACACACACCAACTCTTCAGCATCCAATCCATATTCATCCATCATTAGAGAGTTAGTCCTGGAGATTGTTTCGAATAATTATAAAAATAAATATTCTTAAACGTCCCATATTTTTCCTTTCTTGTCTCTCTAAGTCAATACAAAGTGTTTGAATAAAATTCCCTGTGGTAAAAACAACCTCTTCTGATTCTAAGGTAAGATTAACCTCTGTACCTTAATAAGTGTGAGAATAAACCAACTATATTCCGCTACATTTAATGGCGAGCCTTATCCAGATATCTACACAATTTTAAAGCACTTTGTGCCTCGTTTGAGACATATTGGGACTCTGAGTCTGAGTTAGACATAACAAACTTCTCTCGTTCAGCTAGTGTGAACATCAGCTTCACGTAAGGGGGGGGGGGGGGGGGGGGAGGGGGGGGGGTTGCGCATTAATCACCCTCCACAGGAGGCACTGTTATATCACACCACTCTGGGTCTGACGTGACACATAGCAGCCATTTTAGGGCCTACCTCTGAAGGAGCATTTTTCCTGTTTGGTACATTGAATACTGTATGTTTTCTTGTTTGTCGCGTGTGTTTGTGACACTGTGTGCAATTGTTTGTGAAACCGGAGATAGAGATATCCCCGTCGGAAGTTACTTCCGTCCGATAGACGCTTGATCCACGTCTACCGTCCCGGTCAACTCGCTAGCATTAACCTAGCATTCAACCGCTAGCACTAATTTGCTAATAGCTGAAGTTAGACACGGAAGAGCGCCTCTGCACGCCAGAGTGCGGACGCTAAAGTCCAGAAATTACCACGTCGCTAACGCACGTTCGGTTGCTTGGACTGTTAAGACCTGGTCGCTCCAGGCATTCGCTAGCTTAGCCAAAACGTTAACTAGCCACCCCGGTTGACATACGGTGGCGCGTACCGACAAATTGTCAAGCTGTTTCGACGCAGCGATTCAGCATCTCAAAATCCGCTACGCCTTCTTGTACTAGATACAGTCGGGTGCATTAGTGGTAGTTCTTTAAAACGCTCCGGTGTGAAGAATCGAATTTGGCTACACGCCGAGTGATGGACAGCGCATGCGCAACAATCCGCCATCTTGAGTGACCCAACTCGTAGCTCGACCGGCCATCTTGGGAAGGTCAAACGAGAGTGACATTTTTGGCATTACCTCACGGTTTTGGCATGAAGGTTCATTTGAAAACCAGGTTTACCTGTAACTACTTCTTTAATACTACTACTTCTTTAATAGGTCATTTTACTTGAAGATGTCTGCAACAGAGGGAGGCCTACACTCACTGGGACCCCAGGTGGTTGATGCAGTAGAATCTGTGGTAGGGGAGACAGACTTGAAGGAACACGGTTATGATGTTGGCCTTCGGAGTCACACAACTGATGACCTGCTATCTTACCTTCAAAATACCATGTCCAGTATCCCCACCTCAAATAAGGCACTTGGGGGAAAGGCCCGTACAGAGTCCCTAGTAGAGGTCGCGGTACTGTTAGCTCACTTGTGGGAGAGAGAAGTGGATCAGCTGAGTGTGGCTAAGCAGCAGCTAGCCACGGTCTAAGGCCAACTTTCTGTAGCTCTTGCTGAGAAGGATAAGGTGTTGGATGACAGAAATCAGCTGGAAAACAAACTGGAACTCTTGGAAGGTGAGAAATTGAGCTTAAAACAGGAGACAAATGGGCTTAAAGCCGACATAGTAAATCAACGAACGGAAATGGAATGTTTGAAGTCAAAGCTGTCTAGACAGGCAGCACCGAAACACGAATCGCACCTACATGCACAAACAACACCACCTCCCACGGCTGATGCTATAGGCGCCGCTCCACCGGCGGGTGGAGACACACTTGCTGGTGTTGGCAGAGGACAAGTCCATCAGCCTGGGCTATCTAGCCAATATGGGCCTCCTTCAGCACATCATTCGGGTTACACGGCTCTTCAGCCGGCACATCTGCTTCCAACAACGACCATTTACCCTGGTTACCCTCAACCGGACGTCTACCGGATGGCTCGGAGCGTCAAACGTTTCAGCTCTGCACCAAGTATTTCGTACCCGGTTGATGCGTACCTGAGCGACCTCCGACACCACTTCCAGCGGTGTCCGGGAATGTCCATGGAGGACAAGATCTTTCTGATAAGACTAACCCCCGATGGCGTGGGTTCGCTCATTGATCGCAAGTGTAACTTGATTGGGGACGACTACGAAAAGCTAGAAGCAGCGGTTCGGAAAGAGTACACCTACAATTCACAGGAATCTGGCATACAGCTAGCCTTATCGGTCAAGCAGGGTCGTGCTGAAGACCCACAGGTCTTCTATCAACGTCTCTTCAACGCATACTTTGGTACGGAATGCAAGGATGGAATGGAGGAGGATAAAGGTTTTAAAGGACTATTCCTCAAAAACCTACATGCCCACTATGACCCATACATGGGTACAGTGGATCCTAAGACCACACCCATGGATGAGCTCAGACGAATGATGAGCTGTGCCTTTGTTCGGTTTGGTAAAGTCAGTAAGAGTTCAAGCAGTGCATCAGTTATGAAGTTAGAGGACAAGGACACGCTGCAATTGGAGGGTGCTGCATACAAGGGTCGTAAGCCAAAAGGGCTTAGGGCTGGACCTAAGCAGAAATGGGCCCAGCAGACTGCTGTCAGACAGCCACAGACGTTCACCGCAGCCAACAAGCGGCAAGACCCGGAAAGACCCCGGACCCCTCCGCCTGCTCGTGGAGGGGGCCCTAAGTCACCCCGACCAGGACGCGTTAAACGTCGTGTTTCTTTCGGTAGAAAGGGAGGTTCTCTGGGGCCCTACAGGCGAGAGTCGCCTCACCCGGGGGGTAGACGCACTCCTTCGAGGACGGCGTCACCACATGCATCTCGCGGGAGCTACGGTCCCGCCAGAGAGCCGGAACCTCAGTCTGGGACACTGAACCCAGAAGAGCTTCGGGTGATGACAGAGCTGCTTAGGGTTCTGAAGAGTGACTCGACGGCACGGGAGCAAATCCTGTGCGTGACGGTGGTAGGGACTCCGCAACCTCACTATGGCTCAGTGGCTGAGACGGGCACGGCAGAGGCGAAGCCCGCCACGACGGTACGTTCACCAGGACCTGAGGCATTGGTGACACCAGCTATGGTTACTTCTATCGACGCTTGTGCGGTGGCACGAGCAGAACCAAGAACCCGGCCTAGCAAACCGAAAACCCGACCTAACAAATCCAAACCCCGACCTGACGAACGGAACAAATTCCCACAAATAGTCCTCGGCAATATCACCCGATGTGGTCCTACGAAGAAACCTCACGTCCCGGTGACCCTGGCGGGGGTGCTGGACTGTGAGGCTCTTATAGACACTGGTTCAGCTTATACAGTCATGTCCGGCTCTGTCTGGGAACAGGTCCGCATGGCTGCGGAGTCGCAGGGTCACGACTTAATACTCGTGCCCTGCGCGAAGCTGATTCAATCATACTCTGACAGCCTGACACCCCTCAAGGGTGTAGCATTCGTCGAGCTCACACTAGGAGTCATGTCCGTGCGCCACCCAGTGTTGGTGACTACCGTCGACTTGTTTCCTCTCGTGCTGGGGGTGACCTGTTGGAGCGCCTCGGTGCCAGAATTGCATTGCAAGACTGGACGCTCCGGACTGCCTTGACCCATCCGAGACCCTTGGAGGCCCTTGGACGCCTCATTGCGGGTTCAGACGGTGATGAGGTCAACGGAGTCGTCGACCCGGTCAGTCAGTCCATTACCAGGGATGCCTGTGACATCCAGAGTATTTGCGTGGTCTCTGTGACACCTTGCCACACGGAGTTGAGGGAAAAGTCTACCCAAGGGGGAGTTGGTGGTCGCGGTGAGACAACGCCTGCACCGGCAAACCCTGCGGTGGGAAATCCACCTACCAAAGGGGGAGCTGAGGGTGGGGCTAATACTCAAATTGAAGCCCAGAGCCTTGGGGGGGACAACCCCGCCACCGGAAGACAGGTGGATGACGTCGATGACGGTGTCGCGCTACAGCAGGCGCTGGTGACCTTTGGCCCGGAGGGTGGTGATTCACCTACCGATGGCATGGGGGTCTGGTGTCCTGTACCGGCGCTGGCTGACACCGACATCTCCGACTCCACCTGCGCATCGAACGTGGGCCCTGCGGAGCCTCCACCTGCGCCAAACCCTCTCATGACCTTACCGCTTCACCTGCTGTATCAACCGGTTCAGCCCGAAACTGTCCCGGCTTATACGAGCGAACAATACTTACAGGACCTGAAAACCCACCTGCCTGCAGCATTCTCGTTCGCACTGGCAACTCTGGAGAAGTTGGCTGAAGGCAGGAAATCTTATTACGATAAGAAGGCCTCACATTCCGAACTCGACGTAAGTGATGAGGCCTGGTACTACATTTTCGCTCCCAAAACGGTTAACAATAAGGCGAACTTGGGGAAGCTGGCTAAGAAACTTTTGCCCAAATGGTCGGGTCCATACCTGATAACAGATAAGCTCTCTTCGGTCGTGTATCAGATCAAGATTACCTGCAAAAACAAGGCACCCGTCTACAAATGGGTCCACAGGGACCATATCAAACTGCACAAGGGTTCCACATATTTGGTCGTTGCCAACAACGACAATTTACCGACTTCGAAAGGGGGGTGATAAACGCGCCTCGTTGGTTCACAGATGTCGATCTCGGGTTACACAAATTTGTTTGTTTGTGAGTGTGCATGGTTGTCTTTCATGTTATATATCACGTGCAGACTTGGGGTGTGTTGAGATGGACATGCTGTGGGCTCCTGGAGTCAGGTAAACGGCCAGGTAACAGTGAGTGGGTTAGGCCACAGTACTGTTATCCAAAGTTTTTTTTTTTTTGATCTTTACTAATCATAATTCCTTATGGGTACATTAACATGAAAGTGATTACTAACTCCACTGATTTACATTTTAGTATTGATTTACATTTCTGTCTTTTTATAGTGTCTTTGACAGGATGATTGAAACGTGACAGTTATGATTTTCCACATCGATTTACCTTACAGGGCTATGAACCAATTTTGCCTCTATTCTGTCAGCGTGTAGTTCGTGAGGTGATTCACTGATACCAGACAGGGTTCTTTCATTTTCTGCTTTTCGCACCATCATTTTTGCATCTCACATAGAGAGGGCTGCATCCATTTCTTCACTTAAAGAGTAATTCACGTAAAACTTACACATAGTACAATAGGTACTCATAGAGTTAGGTTTTTATTTGTTTAAGGACATGAAACACAATCTTGTCGTGTCTACATTGAAGTGCCTGCACTGTGCTCTCTCTCCTCTGCTGAGCTCGTGAGGGTCCTGCTTCCTGGGGGTGGACCCGTGACTCGTCATCTGAATCGACT